GATAGTAAAAGTGTGTATTTTCTCAAAGCTTTATTGATCTCACAATATATATACAATACATATCACAGTAAAAATTAAACCACAACTAACTTTTGCAAACTGTGTATTCAGGCTTAAATAAAATTGGGGGTATTGAACAAAAAGATTAAGGGTTTTGTTTCAATTTTTCAGCCATGGCCAATTTAACAGGAAACACATATTCAAGGGGATTTCATGCATTAGAATGTCCAATATTATTCTTTCAAATGTCACTCAGTCACTAATAATGAGTATGACCACCCCTGACACAGATCAATGCGACATCGTGACATACTGTCCACAAGGTTGTTGATTGTGTCAATGGGCAGGACTTCCCATTCGTCAGTCAGATCCCAAAGTCAGAATTAGTTTCACCTGGTAAATGACACTCCGTATGTAATCATTTCACCTGGTCAGAAGTGATAACTGATGTGTATAAATAGAAATAAAAAGAGGAATGTGTCTGAAAGCAAGAAATATTCCAACTTCATGGGCAACATTGTATATAATTTGCTGTTTATGAAAACGCTTGTGATATGACAGTCGATCACCACAAGGTGTCGTCAAATTGGACAAAACAAACTAACATCAAGATGAGCACTTAAGATTGTTTAAGTTGGAAGAATATCAATGTTGTTGTTAGCGTAGACAACACAAGCTCAGGTTTGCATTGCAGATTTGTTTCCATAATAAAAATTAAAAGCACATCCTTGTGATAAGCCCCCCCCCCCCTTCTCTCTTTGTGTGTATGTGTTTCCAGGTTGTGTTCACCATCAGTGACCCAGACCAGAGGTTTCACCTCCCTCTCCTGATGAGTCGCTTCTCATACAGCACCTACAGAGGAAGCTGAGATCTCTGAACCTGACCAGTTGCTACTACAGATCGAGGGTGAAACCCCGCTGTCTTATTTAGAGGTTTATACTTGGACTTGTATAAAGAGGTTTTCCTCTTTGTCTTTGACTCAGTTGTTGTTTTGTGTTATTGTTGCTGACTGTTGAGTTTTGAATACGTGACTAAAGTACACACTGTGTTTTTATATTTAGAAATATACAACGCATCAGAGTTATCTTTATGGATCATCACTGCACTCTTGTATTACGATTTTATCGTAATATGACAATATTTAATGCTTCATATTATTTGTCATGACACTGAACTACACGCCTACTTATTCTTTTTCTAAATTCTATTCTAAAAAAAAAACTGTACAGTTCCATGCAAACCTCAAAAATTATTTGTCAGTGTTGATGAGATTGTTAGTTCCATAGAATCTGCCTGCAGTATAAAAATCCAAATCAAATAAAAACACAACTAAACGTCAGTTTCAGTTTTCCATCTCAGTTATTGCATTGTTCCATCTTAATAATTTAATTGTTTTAAGTCTCTTGCCAAGCAGGTATGTGGACATACCAAACATTTGCTGGATTCAGCTTCTTCATTGTAAGAAATAACTGCTTTTGTCTTTCGTCAACAAGCAAACTGTCAGCATGTAAATATTATGGTAAACAGTTACGTTTTTCTGAATTTTAGTCGACTCAATGTTAATTTGATTTGATCGAACATTTTCAAGTTAAATAGTGTCATTTTGACATCTAAAACAAATGTCATGTGTTTCTATAACCATGAGGTTGAGTGAATCGTTGTCAGATGAACGCTGAATGGCAGAGCAGCCCAAGACAGAAGAAAACAGCAGCAGCTCTATCAGCAGTCTGTTTAACATAAGGGCCATAGGTTACTTCCAACCTTTAAACACAACTGTAATATAATTCCTACAAATAATATACACAGTGCAAATGTACTGACCTCAGTTCCAGGGACATCTAAAGTATAACACCTGTGAAAACCTTCCTCAGACTGCAGAACATCACCTCCTAGTGTCCAAGCAAGTAACTGCTGCAAAACATGTAACAGAGATCCCTCCAAGATCTACCAAAAGCTTTCTTACAACTACCTTTAACAACCTTCCACAGAGATGTGTAAAATGTGACATGATCAGATGAGTTATCCTTCAACATATTATCAACAGGTGAAAATATGGAGATGAATGTCTCTCCGTCAGTGCCTGCCATGCAGATGTGAGGAGTGAGTTCCATAACAAAAACTGAGTGGTGGTTGAAAGAGCGCCATGAAATGTCAGTCTGTGAAAAGCAATGTAGAAACCTCATTGCTTGCTTCATGTATCTTGAGAAAAATTGAAACAACACTAATCTGTCCTTTTCAATCCCATTGTGCTTTTTCACATCTTATTTTTATAAATGCACAAAATATTTTCTCTTAGCTAAGTCTATAAACAGTTTTGCCATATTTTCGGGTTTTTGTGTGTGTTTTCGCTCATGCTTTTTAATATGCATATTAAAAATGTGCAGTAAAACCATAATGTTTAACAATTAAGCTACACTCAATAACCCATCGCGACAAAGTGAAAACATCCAACCATCCATCCATCATCTATACACCTCTTAATCCTCATGAGGGTCGCGGGGGGGCCGGAGCCTATCCCAGCTGACTCAGGGTGACGGCAGGGGACATCCTGGACACGTCACCAGTCTATCACAGGGCTACACATAGAGACAGACAACCAAGCACACTCACATTCACACCTACGGACAATTTAGAATCACCAATTAACCTCAACATGTTTTTGGACCTTGTGGGAGGAAGCCGGAGAACCCAGAGAGAACCCACGCTGCATGGGGAGAACATGCAAACTCCACGCAGAAAGATGCCGGTGTCCTCACCGGGATGGGAGCTGGCGACCTTCTTGCTGTGAGGAAACAGTGCTAACCACCGAGCTACCTTGCAGTCCCAAAGTGAAAACATGGCTTTTGCAAATTTGGTAATGAAAAAATCAGAAATTTCTCAGTTACAAATAGTCATAATGTTTGCAGTGGCTCCAAATTGACATCTGGTGTCCTCTGGTCACTTTAAAAAAAATTTTTTTTAAACTGACCAGGATAGATATGAAGGCATAACACAAGAGCGAACCATTTTCAAACTTGTAACTATGATTACTGTCATTATAGCTCATATATCTTTTCACAAACTCTAAGATACCAATTTTAGCTTAGGATTGGATCCCTTTTCAACATCCCCTCAACAAGCAAGACAGTCATCATCCTCAAGAGTTGGAAATGTTTTTATTTCTGATAATGCAACAGCTACAGCAGAAGGTAATAGGTAGGTTCAGGTTACAGCTAGAGGTCGACTGATTCACTTGAGCCAACTAGCTTTTAGAGTCATAATACAGTACAGTGTTAAATATTTTTTATATTTTCTGTACGCAGGAGAGTCTTTCACTAACTTCTTTAACTTCACAGAGCTGAGACATCATTCCTTCAGAAAAAACTAAAGAGAGAAGAATCACTCTCTACTTAAAAAGATATGAGAATGAATTTTTATTTATTTATTTTTTAAAATAACTTTGAAACTACTCAATTAACCATAAAAATAATCAGTGCCAAAAATAAAATAAGCAGCAGGTCATTTTACACATTCTACACAACACTAGAGATGATTTGGTTATATATGTAATTCCATATTGTAGGATTTTACACATTTCACTCTAAAGATCCATGTCAAGCCAGCATTTTTTGATGGCATGATCATATTGAAAATATCTGATCAGTGCTGAGCTTTGTGGGAAGGAAGAGCTGCGAAGTCCTAAGTTGAGGAAGCTTTTATAATAGCTGTGTCACCATTTACTTTTATTTAACCCTGCTCTGTTACCAGTATAAACTCCAAAAACATGATGTGGGCTGGTTTGCAGTCAGCTGTCCATGACACTAATAAGTTCCCTTCGTTAACTTTGTGTTATTGTCTGGTCTGTGACAAACCTTAGCTAGCTTGCTAACCAACAGAATGCAAGTTGGCAGAATACAAATAACAAGATAACTTCACATTTTTTGCTGCTAGTTTTGAGATACATGTGTAGTTTTTTATTTTTATTTTTAAATATCATAGCACCACATGGTGATTCCTGATATTTCTGACTTGGGATCAACTCAGACTGGCGACACAAACCAGTTAGCTGCTGGTACATATGGCCTGGTGACATCTGGATTAGAAACACAGAAACATCATAGACAAGTCTGCGATAATTGTCAAGCCTAAATCAATTTTGATGAGCTTTTACCTGGCAATTTAAACCACTGACCAACAGCAAGTCATTCTGACATCTTCAGTGTATCTTAATGGTGGTCACCATCCAGTTTATGACCTCCTCTGTTGAAGAATGAAAATCCTTATAACAGAAACATGCTTTAGAGACAGTTATGGAGCGAGTTCCATGGTACAATTATATTTTCGGAGAAACTATCTGAATTCAGGTCAATTGCTAACATGACAATCAGTCGTTTTGCACTGCCAGCATGTATGGGACGTTTTAGAGCAGCTTGAACTTTTGTGCGTCGGTGAAGGGGCAGTTAAAAGACCGCTTATGGCACTAAAATGCCAGTAATATCAGGGAATAAAAAGCACTGTACAAAGAAATAAAAAGCTGCTGTGGTTGTGGTTGACTACTGAGTACCCTAGCTGTGTCAGCTGTTAGCTCGCCAGATAGATGGTCACTTCCTCATTAAACTCTGAGTAACAGCACTTTATGGTAAGTTTCGCCCTTCTTTTGTCTGCATGACTGCAACATTATCTAGTTACGAACTTGGCAGCTAGCTGGTTTGGCTGGATAGTTAAGCTATGGCATTAGTCAGGAGCTGAGCTTGCAATTTCTAGCCTCTTCAACATTTCAGTGGTTAGCTCACCAGGTATAGTAGCTCAGTATTTCCAATATTAAATCAGCACTGACTATTTCACAAAACATACAAAACTATTTGCATCTGTGATAGTGGCAAAGCACAAACACAGCCGAATGTCAATGAAAATTTGTCATTCTCTCCTAATTAAAAATCCACTTCAGTCATCTGTCATCAGTCGACCTCTGTGCGCACATTTGGTTTGTTGTTTGAGGGTTTACAGCAGATTCTGATTGTACATGAATACAGCTTTAGGAGATAAACCAACATGAGACAACATGAGGCTCAGCTACAGCTCTTCACAGGTCCACCTGGTCCCAAGCACCAGAGGCTCAACCTGTGACCTTGTGCCAGGGTCATATTACAGTCACTATAAAAAGGATTTTGGATCTTTAATTATCCTTGGGCAACTTTCAGTGACCTGCTTTGGATAAGGTTTAAAATTCTAAACCTGTGAAAACTTCTTGACTGAGCTACAACCATCACAGTATCAGACAGAAAAATAAACAGCTACATCAGAAAACCCTGGCTTGTATTTGGTCGGATAAAGATCAGGATAAAGCTGAAAGCTGACTGATTGGTGTTTTGGAACACCGTGAGCTGCTACTGGTTCCCTTCTCCATCAATTTGAGTCCAGTTTAATGTCTACAGAAAGTAAACAGGACTGCTGGTCAACAAACAAAAAACAGTATCTATTACAGTCTGACAGTCCAGTGCTGATGCTCAACCTTCTGTCAAAGTTAGAATGAGTTTTCATTTAAAGAACTGATTCTCGGCAGAGAAGAAAGGCGATCTTGTCATTCCATGATATTATGAACAGATATGCATAGAAAGACCTTGGGGAAAAAAATCACACAAAAGGGATACTGCTACATATAGATTGTATTTTCTGCAAAAATGAACCCCCAGGGCACATTGAGCAGCAGCTACAGAGACCATTAACATCAGGCTACAATATGCTCAGAGTAGTCCACTAAGAAGGTTTTCAAAAATAAAAAATGTGTCTGTATTAGCAGATGGTTGAATATCAACACTGGACTTTACAGAGAAGTTTCTTTAAACACAATACTGTTTTACAAACTGGCAACACTCACAGTGAGATGAATTCACTTGTACACAAACTTTTTTTTTTTTGGCTAAGCTAAGAAAATAAAGTATCTGTGGAAAAACACAGCCAGCCAAAAGTTTGTAGACAGCCCTATTCACATCCTTACTGATCCTTATTGATCCCCCCAAAACATTCTGCAGAATGTTGAACGTGTCTATGGAGTTGAGCAATTCAGATCAGATTGCATTCTTTGAAAGATTTTTTGAGGCCCAACTTTATTCAAGACTAACCATCAGTTATGTAACTACAGCCACTTTGCTAGCACTATAACGAATGGTGTTGTAACAGTTCAAACAGTTTGAGCCACTCAAATTTAACCAACACTGTTTGGTACAGGACATAGTTTGGTATTAGACTTCTGGTGGGTACAACCTGTGACCCAACCAGTTCAGGAGTTAATTGAAGCTGACATATTAGCACTTATGGAGTGGAATTTCTACCGAGGCAGTTACGCCCAGAACATTAGGATCATCGATGCTGACCGTAGAGCCAAGCCACTAGCATGTACAGACAAATAAGGAATTAACCATTCAAACAGTTTGAACTGTTTGAGATTAGTTTTGTCCCTCTCCATTTTCAACATCTCTCTGTGTGTAAAGTCAGATGCACATGAAATGGTTGTCTCAGTTTGGTGTGGAACAACTTGACTGGCCTGCACGGATCTTATCATGTTTGGGATGAACTTAAATACCAACAAAGAGCCTGACTTTATCACCCGCCATCACTGTTGCATTAAACTAACGCTCTTGTGGCTGAATGGGAGCACATCCCTGCAAGTTTGTGGAATAAGCAGTTCACTGATGAAATATGGCTGCAATGTTCAGCTGTCCACATACTTTTGGCCAAGTAATGTATCTTGCAACAACTTTAAAAGATGGAATAAATTAAATTAAGAATGCTTTTGTCTACAAAAATATATTTGTGTTGCTGGAAAATCTTATTTTAAATTATGGAAGTTTCAGATGATTATTTTGAGGTTTTATGAGACTAAGTTAGAATTAGATAGATGAGAACATCCTTTTATACTGAGAGTAAATTGAAGATACAGCGAGAGCTTCAGCACATTTTGAAGACAGAACAGTTGGTGTATTAAAGCAGTAATTCGTCAGATGTTTTCCATTCTGTTTTATCTTTGCTCAGACTGAGTGCTTCTGCATATTGAGCAGATATGGAAGATTAAAAACATGGACATGTGCATCATGACCACCCTGACAATCACAAAATGTTCTTGATTAAAATAAAAATTGTAGATGTCTTTTTTTTCTGAATATCGTTGAATTCAAATGTGTAAGAACACAGCTTCAAAGATATGATTGGGCTCAAGTCTTCCTGAGAAACAACGGTAACTGAGGACTGGAGAAAACGAATGAATCGGTTTGAGGGACAGAAATCTTTGCAAGCAGAAGAACAAGGACAGTGATTGTTCAAGAAAAGGTCAACAGTGGAAAATAAACTTGTCAGCATCATTCTTCTCTGTAAGTACTGACCACCTCTGACTCCTTATAATCACATGACCCTTGGAATGACTGGCAGGTGTCTGGCATCCCTCGTACATGTAACAGCTAATTCCAAGTCTAGTATATTTGTTAAACTATATAAAAAATGCAAATAAGCCAACGTTTATGCAAGACTTTCTAACCCACAAATATGCTAAATAAATACAGAAGCTCTCTGTCTATTCTACTCTGCACAGCTGCTGCTTAAGTAGAATCCAAGCTAAATCCAAGTCAACATATTCAGGAGGCAGACACAAGTCTGACACAACAGAAAAAAAATATTGAAGTCACACTGAAACTTGCCATTAATCAACAATCAAGGTTAAGACTAAGTCCAAGTCAAAGCAGTTTCTGTTTTGTGTCTAAATCAGGGCCAGGTTACAGGTACAGTAACCAAGAACCAGATAAGTCAAAGTCAAAACCTCAGCAAGACCAGGAAAAGTCCAAATCGTAGACAATCACAAAACTGAGATATTGGAGAAAACTTGTCCATGTCGTAAAGAAGGTGGAAAAATAAAGTTACAGATAATACATAGGACTGACAGCAGCCTTTTAGACAACTAAAAAAGATCTGGCATTGGTAAAGATAAAAGATAGCAACAGGTCAAGTTGGTTGGTAACGTCAAAACAAATTTACATCAAGAGAACTCCTCCAACAAGGTCGAGACAAGTGCAACTGCAGGATCCTTAGAGACTACGAGACTCTCTACAAGTCCACATAAATACACTGAGACAAGACTGATACATGTTAGGGCCGAGTCATTTCACCTGTTAAACTTGGACAAGTCCAGAAACATATGAAACTGAGCGATTGGATATGGACTTCTGGAACAAGCATTTAGGCTTTGCATCTCTCCCCTCCTGTCTAAACACTAACAATGCTAAGACAAGTCAGAGTCCAACTGAGGCACATCCCTGTCACCACAAGTCCACCTAAAAAGAGAAATTAGATGGAAGCAAGTCTGAATCAATGACAAGTTCAGGTCAAATACTCCCCAAACGGAAACATGGTCAGATCTTAGCAAGTCTGAATCACAACAGGATTGACTGAGAGAAATCAAAATGACCTCAAGACGAATTGCAGAGAGTGGCAAGAAACAAATCTGATTTAAGAGAGATGCTGGACTTGAGATTGAAACTGGACTTGTAGTCTACAGGCCATTCTGTAGGCAGTGATCACTTTTTGAGCAACACAGACATGCAGAAGTCCATGTTGCTCTGACCTTTGGTATATAAAATACTGTCAAACAGGGCTTGTCTCTGCTGCAGACCTGGAATTATGTATGAAATATAAAGCAGGTACCAGACACCCGGCAACCATTCCAAACAAACACCAATAGAGACACTCCAAACGATTTCAAAATCTGAGGGTGAAGCTTCATTCTTTGGGTCTACAATTTCCTGATTTACAGTGGTTTCCTAGTTTCCAGGGAATACATGTTAAGCTGTCAGAAAACTACAGATTAGGAAATCATTTTGACCCAGAGGATAAAGTTTTGTTTCCATCTGTGCTGCTGACATTTGTTGAGTAACAGCATGACTAATTGCTGAGTCAGCAAATCCTGTCGCATCTCCAAGTGTAAAATGTGATGAACGTCACATGATGGTGGCGGCAGCAGCAACGTAGGCAGTAGCCGGCAACAAAGACACAGCTCCAGTGTCGGGCAGAGAATAATGGGGGACACCGGCTTATATCGCACAGGGGTTAGTGAGATCTTCAAACACTGGCGGCTCTTCGATTCCTCGTGCAAACAGCTTGATCAACTGGCAGTGCGCTCTAAAAAAAAACAATGGAGAAGGTGTTTTTAATAAGAAACTTAACCTGATTTTAAATATGTGTAAAACAGAAACTCCCATAGTGTTGTGGTACCTGACGTCAATGGCCGTGTGGGTCAAAATCTCGCCATCGCAGTTCCAGCTGCTGTAGGCAGGCGCACAGCCACAAGCCGGGTGGTCTCGGCAGATCTGGCTGAAGATCTGGTGTTTGCCATTCTCCTGCAGGTCCAACTCGAGCTCCGAGTCACTCTGGCAGTGACGGGGCGTAAAGCGGAAACGCCGCACCCGGTGGACCTCAACAAAAGTCAGGTCAAACTGATGAAGTGAACAAAAGAGGAAAGAGACCATAGTGCAAGATTCAGTCTTTTGTTGACATCCCACTATTGTGTGCAGGGATTATAAATTAGAATATGGATTTCTTATGCAGCATAGGATCATACCTGATCATCCTTGCTGGTGTGTCGGAGGAGGTGTCTGAGGAAGTCAAAGCGGGAACATTTTCGGACCAGGATGAGGTCAGTGGTGCCATCGGCCAGGTGAGCAGCAGGTGAGAGGCCTTTAGGGCTGCGAGGACAAGCACAGCTCATACTGGCAGCATTGATCGCGAGAAACTTCCCTCGGATCGTCCTCCACTCGCCATCACTCTCTGGAACAAAAACACCCCCAAAGAGAAAAATTTTACTTTCCTTGTTGCTGCTGCCAAACCTTTGTCTCTCCTTTGTGTGGACATTTGCAAAAGTTTGGCCTTCATCAGTAAAGACTGATTGAATAAAATCAACAATAAATGCATTCAGTCACATCTAGCAAAGCATGGATACCAAAGCCCATGTACAATCAGATACCAGGATAACATACTCAATAACTTCAAAGCACTGAGACTGAATGCCTATTGTGACCTTGGAAATGGGACTGAATCTCCAGAACAGCTACTGACTTCATCAAGAAGGGAGATTGCGCTGTCTGTCTGTTTCCAAGGTCAAGCAGCTTTAAGTCAACATGGCCAAAAAGATGTGTAAGTGCTCAGAAATAAATTGATACACCTGCTATTCCACGCAAACCTGACAAACCCCATCAGCTGATAACGATGATGGGATATGATTGAGAACTCCAGCAGTCATGCATGAATGGATATTGTTCTGCTAACTTTAAGAAGGTATTATGTGCATGGTAGGTCTTCTTATTTTGACAATGCATATTTTAGTTTTTTGTGTACAAGACTACAATTTCACGTGACACTTTTGTTCATAAATCCAGTATAAATAATTTTGTGTGACATATATATATATATATATATATATATATGAAGATACAACAGGATACTAGCCATAGTACAATTCAGTGATTGGACAGTCTTCAAGAGCTCGTTGGACTCACCGCAGTCTGATGTGTCATCCATCTCGTACCTCTCAGCTCTCTCTGAATGTAGCCGCCCGTTATGCTGACAAACCACACAGCTAGGGATTTACAGACACACCAATGTTATTTTTAAAATAATGAAAAATAATTGAATTACATAACCAGAACATTTTAGCTATGGTATGCACTGTTGCGCATACAAATTATTAGTTACAGGTGCAATACTTAAGATTATGAGCATAAATATAGCAGCAAACGACCATCTGTTCGGTAAAGATATAGTGGAGCAATGACATTCATAGCAGAGAATGAAGTCACTCTCTGTCTGTGTGTGTGTTGTAATCTCTGTTTCTCTGCTCTATATTTTGTCAGCCGGTTGGCTGCTTGTACATGTCAGTGCAAGCTAGTGTATGTTAGTTCATGTGAGTCTCTTCTGCTGGAACTGTTGACTCCGCCTGTGCTTATAATCAGACCAACAGCGGCCTCCCACACTGCAGTGGAAAAGCGAAAATGCAGTCCAACCCTAAAAAACAAACAGGCTAACATGGTGCTCCAACAATAATAAGTGATTTTGAAAAGCTGTACCCAGAACCTTTAACCTTAGGTGAATTTGGAGTACAAACTAAGTTAGGCAAATTGAGACAAACTGTTTGAGTTTAATCATACAAAATGAACAATTACTTTATTAAACTAAGCAGTTCAACTGAACCAAACCGTTTTGGTTACTAAACCAAAACATTTGTGTACCTAAACTAACCTTACTTTTAGGTGCCAAACTGAACTGTAAATCAACTTCAATTCAATTCAATTTAATTTTATTTGTATAGCGCAGTTTACAACACGTTATCACACAGCGCTTAACACAGTGAAGTACAGACCTTACAAATTTAAACAGAGAACCCCACAATCCAAAGTAACCTTTGGACTTCCTTTGAGCAAGTGGTTGGCAACGGTGGGAAGGAATCAAAAGTCTCATTTTCACATTTCTCTTACCCGGATTGACACCTGGCTGCATCTCGCGGCGTTCCTATGATGCCCCTGGCCGGCAGGTAGGACACTGTTCCTTCATAGCAATGATGAGTCAGGAACATTTTCAGACCTGCAGGGTTCAAAACAATGACATAACACCAGATGACACATAACAATCATTAATTTGGGGTTGGTGTAAGATTACTCATGGTCACTTGACTATGTGTGGTACTTTACCAGACAAGTCGTATCTGGCTGGTCCCATCCATCTCTTCCTCTCGCTGTCAGTTAGCACATCACCATAGAAACCATATCCCAGCAGAGAGACAGAGTATCGCAGGAACGTGTTGTTGTGATGAACCGAGCACACGTCCATTGGCTGAGAGTCACCTGAACACACACATGAACACACATGAATAACATACTAACCTGTAATCATGTGTTTGACTGAAATCGTTGTTTACAAACTAACACAAATAAAAACAAGACAGCAGGTATAGACCTACCGTGAACCAATCACCACTGACTCAAGGTGGTTGAGACCGGTGGTTTAACACGTTTGTACTTTGGGTGGGATCAGTCCATCAAATAAGCCCATTTTCCAAAAAAGAAAAGTTCTGGATTTTAAATAAGTGTGCCGTTTGTATAGGAGGATCGACAACTGTTCGATTTGCACTCGATTTGACACAGCAGATCACTTGGATCCTAAATGGGTGGAACACATCCATCCATCCATTATCTATACATCGCTTAATCCTCACTAGGGTCGCGGGGGGGCTGGAGCCTATCCCAGCCAACTTAGGGCGAAGGCAGGGGACACCCTGGACAGGTCGCCAGTCTATCACAGGGCTACACTTATTGACAGACAACCAAGCACACTCACATTCACACCTACGGACAATTTAGAATCACCAATTAACCTCAACATGTTTTTGGACTGTGTGGGAGGAAGCCGGAGAACCCGGAGAGAACCCACGCTGCACGGGGAGAACATGTAAACTCCACGCAGAAAGATTCCGGTGCCCCCACCGGGACGCGAACCGGCAACTTTCTTGGGTGGAACACATTTGGAGAAAAATTTTCAAAATGCCAAAAAGCAGAATGTACAAACTCATGTACCCTGCCAACTCAGTAGGATCACGAACATATATTTACACAATGTATTACACACCTGACATACAGAGATTATGAAAAAATGTGAAACCAATGTCATCCCACTCTTGATTAAAAGTATACCGCTAGTTTCTAGATTTGTGTATTTTGAGAACCTGAAACCCATAAATGTTTGGCATTTTTACATCTTTAGAACAGCCAGAAAATGTACCTCAAAGTACTTGTCTTTTTTTTTTTTTTTTTAGTTTATTTTGTAAAATGGGGCTGCAAGGTGGCGCAGTTGGTAGCACTGTTGCCTCGCAGCAAGAAGGTTGCCGGTTCGCGTCCCGGTGGGGGCACCGGAATCTTTCTGCGTGGAGTTTGCATGTTCTCCCCGTGCAGCGTGGGTTCTCTCCGGGTTCTCCGGCTTCCTCCCACACAGTCCAAAAACATGTTGAGGTTAATTGGTGATTCTAAATTGTAGAATGTGGTGTGAATGTGAGTGTGCTTGGTTGTCTGTCTCTAAGTGTAGCCCTGTGATAGACTGGTGACCTGTCCAGGGTGTCCCCTGCCTTCGCCCTAAGTCGGCTGGGATAGGCTCCAGCCCCCCCGCGACCCTAATGAGGATTAAGCGGTGTATAGAAAATGGATGGATGGATTTTGTAAATTACTGCAATACAAAAACATCTCCCTTTGACTTAGGTCACATATCTGTGTGTATAACATGCCTCATGCTTGAGTGATTTATTAACAGCAGAGGGGGCGATCTGATGATCTTAATTTGGCATATGCTCTGCTATTGAGAGGAATCAGACAGATCACATCATTAAAATGTAGGTAGTTCATTTTGAAAGTTCAGAAGCTGCTAACCAGCTAGTCCCATCTCATGTCTCCCACCTCTGGACTGGGCACTCAACATCAGCTGCACATCCAGTGAGTCTCTTGTCCTGCTTTAACTCCATTCTCTTGGACTGCAGCTGGCAGTGGTAGTCCTTGCTCTGCTCTCTGTGTGATCTGCTGCGAGCTAGAGGGCCACTCCAACCAGAACCTGCATTAGCAGGAGATCTGCTACATGTACCGCTACGCCAAACTCATTGAGGCTACAGAGCAGAACAATGATGCCATAAAATCTGCCTGTGCTGAGATAGCTGACATCTGTTGCCAGCTGCAGTCAGAGATGATGGAGCTGGAGTCTGTCAGTAGGACGGCAGACTCACTGGAGAGGCAGCTGTATGACATAGAGGACCACCACAACAGTGACCTGGCAACAGTAGACAGTATTGCAGAACAAAAGCTGTGAGTTGACCAACATCCTAAAACAAGCATCGAAGCAGTAGAGATACAAATCAGCACTTCTGGTCAGAACTTTCAGAATAAAATCTAAGTTCGTACACGACATTCACACAGGACGCAAAGATTTGTGTGTTGGGCCTTTAGACTTGAGTTGAAGTGAAAGGTATATTCAGGCAGCCGTATGCACAACTAATTAAATGGTCACAAGTTTAACTAAATCTGTGGGGAGAATTGTGATTCGGAGCAAGGATTGTAGTTCTACCCAGAAAAGATCATCATATGATCTTAAGGCCACAGCACCCACCCTACGTAACAGCTGATGAAGACGAAAGCCATATACATACTGACCCACTATGATGTGCAGTGCGGAGGTCACAGGGTCATTGGTGCCCACAGTGGCGAAGCAGATACAGTCTGTGGAACCTAAAAAAAAAAGATTGTTCTGAGGAAACAGCTGACAGGACACAACTGACAATAGCTTCATGTTTAGCAGTGCAAAATACTCCAGTGAGGAAAACAGGAGCATTGATGGTACTGACAGCATCACACATTCTGATTACATAAATATCATTACATGCATACAGACACCTGCACCAATCACAGCAGCCATTAAGGGACCAGGTGTGCTGTTCGCTTTTGCACAGAGAAATAATGTCTCCCTGATGACTCTGTGTGTATTTATAAAGCGCTTAAGCAGAACAACAGAAAACAAAAAGGACAAACAAAGCGAACTAAGAAACAAGGTCACAGTCAGTACCTGCGTTTATGTTATAATGACAAAGACTCCTGATCTCTGATTGGCTGTCATCTGTCTAATAAAATCATAACAGTGTTCACCTCCTGCATTGTTCAGGTCAAAACTTGAACCTCTGTTCTAAATCCGGAGTGTATCAGTCTATTCATCACTGAGCACGTCTTATTTACAGTAACTTGACTGGATTCATCTGTCACATAGAGGGGGAGCTCAAAAAAACATTTCAAAGTGCTGATGTTTGGGCTTTCATACAAAAGTACATTTTTTGGCTTTGCTTTTTGTGTAGAAACAATGAAACTGCATTTCTTATATAATAAAGTATTCTATAATAATTACCTGATTGATTACTATGAAAGACTTTTAAATTTTTATAGGTGGCTGTGTCATTTTTTCATGTTTTTTGGGTTCATGGCAGATTTTAACTTTGTTAAATGCACAAGTGAGTTTGTTCTGAAAAAAGGTAACATGCATGTGGGTTAAAGGACAATTCAAAAGCTTAACAAGGACAGAAATGAGAGCATAGTAAGTTGGCTAAAAAATATCTCCAGACTCCAGAGAGCTTAACTGCAGGTCTCCATAGCGATACAGCCAATGCTATGGGCTATGTTACTTTAGTAAACAATCCCTAGAGCCTCCTCAAGGACCTACAACACTCCCCGCAACCATAGAATCTATCTCATTGACTCCTTTAACCTGCTCAAGGACATATGCAACCTCTACCCATTCTTGCTACACTGAGGGATGACGCACATACTGCTGACATTTTAGCTGAATCAACAACAACTGAGAAGAAAAGCAGTATTTTTATATATTATGAATAACAGTCGTGGAAAAAGTTATTAGACCACCCCTGTTTTGTTCAATTTCTTCTTTATTTCATGCCTGGTACCACTAAAGGTACATTTGTTTGGACAAATATAATGAAAACAACAAGAATAGCTCATAAGAGTTTAGTTTAAGAGCTGATATCTCGCCATTTTCCATGGTTTTCTTGATAATAACCAAAATCACTTAAGTTCTGACATCAATAGCTATGGCATTGCACTGCCAAAAGCAGTGCTTTTAGACATTCCATGTTTTCTTTTCTGTTTTAGTCACATGATACACACAGAAGTTAGTACTTGATTGCATAACCATTTTTTTGATGACTGCAGCCATGCGTCTTGGCATGCTCTCCATCAGCTTCTGACATTGTTCTGCTGTCACAGCAGCCCATTCCTGTTGTACAAATTCAAACAAATTTGCTTTAGGGTTAAGGTTTCCAGCAGTGCCAAGATGGCTGCCTTTGTGGCTTCACATATTTCTTTTGTTTTAGGCATGGTGTGAGAGCTGACAACTTCTGAGTTGCGCTACGGCTTGAATGTAAGCAGGAAACCATTCTAGGCCTTTGCATGTGCAGTGCTGCTTATGACATGAAATGGTCTCTTATGTACCGTGACAATACAATCAAGCTTAAGCATGTCAGATAGGGGGCTGCAAGGTGGAACGGTGGCTAGCACCGTCGCCTCACAGCAAGAAGGTCGCCGGTTTGCGTCCTTGTGAGGACACCTGGGATCTTTCTGTTTGCATGTTCTCCCTGTGCAGCGTGGGTTCTCTCCGGGTTCTCTCCGGGTTCTGGTTAATTGGTGATTCTAAATTGTCCGTAGGTGTGAATGTGAGTGTGCTTGGTTGTCTGTCTCTAAGTGTAGTCCTGCGATAGACTGACGACCTGTCCAGGGTGTCCCCTGCCGTCGCCCTAAGTCAGCTGGGATAGGCTCCAGCCCTCTACGACCCTACTGAAGATTAAGCGGTGTATAGATAATGTGCGGATGGTACCAGGCATTAAAATGAACAACAAATTGAAGAAAACAAGGGTGGTCTAATCATTGTTTCCATGACTGTATGTCAGTGTTTCTGACCTGCAGGAATGATCCCAATGCGAAGCGAGCAGGTAGACAGTGTTTCATCTGGACAGTTTGGATCTACGCTGTTGTCGATCTGTGTCCTCCAGATCAGCCCATGGATGATCTCACTGAACATGCCGTCTCCTCCGACACACACCACACTGAGTCAGGGTCAAAGTTTAAAGGGCACAGATTAGTACAGACAAACTCTGCAACTGATCATAAATAATCAAACGTGTAAATATTCTGCAGCAAAATTCAGGGCAGCAGTTTGGCATGTCTTCACGGTGGTGTTTTTATTTGGCGGTTCACCTACATTAGCCGTCTTGCAGGTATTTTGTACTCTGATGTATTTACAGGATGAAATAATTAACCTACTCATCACTCACCCATCAAACTTCTTCAGCTCTGCCTCCATCTTTAGGTGATCCCTTGCATGATTGGCAAACTCCGTCACTATAACAATTTGTACGTAGACACATTGTGATTCAAGTATATAATGTGACACAGCAGAGTTGGAGAATGGGATGTGAGTGAAGCAGGATGTACCGATGACATGTGTGGAGACGCCAGCCAGGGCGAACAGCGGGGCGACCTTCTGCTCGTAGATGCGTTTTCCCTGGCGCTTCCCGCCGTATGGGTTGATGTAGACCAACAGGTGTTTGGGTCGGCTGGCTGTCCACACAAACAACAACTATGTTACAAATAGTCTCTGGTAAAAGTGTGTGCTACTAAGTCAGTGTGTGTTGGTGTTGAATCATACTGATAGCTGCAAGCTGCTCTCTGATGCTGCTGATCCAGTGTTGACACAGCGCAGCATCTGAACACGTGAAGGTGACCTCAGCACACCGCCAGCGATGCTGCCGACACCTCTCCACATACAGCACTGAAGAAGACACAGATCAAAACCAATCATTTGACAAATGATCATTTATTGATACACAAACTGCTTTGATTAGTTGCTGCACAGTAAAACGTTTCATCTGTGTGTCAATGGATTGATTTCATTGTGCAGTAAGCGCAGATTTAGGAAGTTTGTTTTTGTGTCACTGTCCACAAAAACACAAATGTTGAAAGATATTAAAGAAAAAAGTAGAGGAAAGCTTTGAGCTGGCTGCTGTTGCTGTCCGTCCTCACAGCACAACTGGCAGGAGAAGCCAAATGTGGCTTCCAACTTTTGCCTCATGAATCTTACTGACCCGACCTGCACCGTCTGACTTCTGTTTCACAAACTGAAATCTCACTTGTATGGTTGCCATTTTCACAGATGACAAAGTCATCAATGCTGTTGAGGAGAATCTGAAGGCTCAAGATGTGACTTTTTTCCACAAAGGAATAGTGAAGCTTGCCCACTGGTGGTCCAAGTGCATTGAAGCTAAAGGAGACTATGCTGAAAAATAATGCAAGAACATCGTTCTGCGCACGGCGACTTTGGGGTTAGTACTGTCGCTAATAGCTGGTAGATCCCCGGTTCGCGTCCTGGTAAGGATGACCTGGATCTCTCTGTGTGGAGTTTGCATGTTCTCCCCGTGCAGCGTGGGTTCTCTCCGGGTTCTCCAGCTTCCTCCCACAAGTCCAAAAACATGTTGAGGTGAATTGGTGATTCTAAATTGTCCGTAGGTGTGCTTGGTTGTCTGTCTCTAAGTGTAGCCCTGCGATAGACTGGCGACCTGTCCAGGGTGTCCCCTGCCTTCGCCCTAAGTCAGCTGGGATAGGCTTCAGCCCCCCGCGACCCTAGTGAAGATTAAGCGGTGTATAGATAATGGATGGATGGATTAGGTATATAAACATAAAACATCTAAATAGCATCACAAACTAAATAGTCATATTGTTCCCAATTGCTCTGTACAGAGAGTAATACATTAAAAAACTGACTTGTTCTCTCTCATTCATTTCCTCAACAGGACACCCGCATCCACCTGCCTAGATCATGTTACTATAAAGAGAAAAATTTCATGCTCAGGTCTGATTCTGTTCTTCATGTTCTCAAATGTTGATACACAGACTTATAAAATTTGGTTTGCGCTCACTCAAAACCATTGTCGTCCACATTCATGTATACACATCAAGCCGTGTTTACCTGTGAAGGCCTGCCTGTAGTCCTTTTCTTCCCTCTCTTTGATCTTTTTCCAGCTGCCATCCTCTCTTCGTCTGCTGCCGTTTTCCTCCTCTTCCTCCCTGACAGAGATGATCTCTGACACTGACACACTGTGACACACACCTGAATAAAACACACACACACACACACATATATATATATATATATATAACGTTTGTTAGTTCCAAAAATCCAACAGTCAACTCTCAGATTTAGGAGCATTTTTGCAACATGTGAAGATGCCATCAGACAACAGGTTGCCTTTCACTGTCCAGAGTGAGGACATGGACGGGAAAGAAACTCACAAATTCTCTGTGACAGAGCAAGCTTTCATAATATTTAAAGGAATTAAGTGAAGCCAGTGGAATCCTACAAAATAAGAAATAAATCTGGAAAAAATGTGAACAATACATGAACATGATCAGTGTATTTCTGTTTTTTTTTTGTTTTTTTTTTCCAAATGTCCAATCTATTATCTAACTATAGCTCAAGCTTTTGAAGTCAGCAGATGGGAGTGTGCCTCTCGTGTGACATTTAAATAAAGACTTGGTTACAGGTTGACTCTATGTCTATGTTGTACATTCACAACTTGTGCACAAACATGTTACATAATGACAACCCTGTGGACGGGGAGGAAACTCAGATGCACAGAACAACTTTCAGGAGTAAAATTACGCTGCTGTTTCCACAGAGATGGCCGCGGAAAAACTATGAAACATGAGATGTAACATGGTGTCATTAACCACTTCTCTGTTCTTCTGTTTCCACCTCGAAGCAACACAGCAACTGGTCACACAGGCATTAGCGGTTTTCATTTATAATATCCAAATGAGGTCAAACTAACACTCTTGCTGTGTTTCTGGGTGTGTCTCTTGGTTGCATTTTTATGCAACACCATTGTCTTCCTTAAGGCTGTGGTTTTTTTCCATAGTGATTATTACGTTATCATTTAGCCTACAAACCATAAAACCATTAAAAAAAACAGACCACCACAAATTCCGTAGTCTTTTAAACATCTTGTCTTGTCTCACTAGCAATTCAAACTCAAATATATTTCATTTAATGTTATATTAAAGTAAAGAAAAGCCACAATTTGAGACAAGACCTCAGAAGACATACTTGAAGAATTACTGATTTGCATAAAGCTGGAAAGGTTTTTTCTTTTTTTAGCAATCCCAATGAGTTTAAATATATATCAGTCTGGTCATGGTGTTGTATGGTAGGAAACCACAGAGCAAGTCACTGCCTTCCAAAAAAACATCATAGTCCACTTTGTAATTTCATGGTCCACAACACTCCTGGAAAAATGCTTTGTCAGCTGATGAAAATAAGGCTGAACTGTTTGTAAAGAACATGCTATGCTGCACATCAACAAGGCAACATAAAAGGTAAGGCACAGTGGTGGCAGCATCATGATTTAGGACTGCTTAGCTACCTCTGGGCTGGAAGGGCTCACTATCATTGAGGGTAAAATAATTCTCAGCTTTTTTAGTTTCTTCCAGGGCAATGTTGGAGTGGCTGTCCGAACAAAGCTCAGTAGAAGTTGTAGGGTTACAGAAGTTGTAGGGTGATGCAGCAGGACAATGACCCTAAACATCAAGGCTTCTCACTAAAAGCAAAAAAAAGATTTTTGCAGTGGCCCAGTCATAGACTAGACCCTAACCCAACAGAGATGTAGAATATACATGAACACAATCAGTTCTCTGGGGAAGTAACACGGAGGTTTTGCAGCCAATGGCTGTTTAATCAATTTATAAATCCAACAGTTCACCTATTTTTTCCCCCACTATCACTTAATCAGGTTAATCAGGATGTTCAATAAAGACACACACAAAACAGAATTGCTTGTGTGTTATTATCTTAAATATATTGTGATTGTCCATATGTGTGACTTAGATGAAAATAAGATCACATTCATGTACAATTGATTAGAATAAAAATCAGGTCATTCCAAAGGGCTCACATACTATCCATCTGAGCATGTTGCTCTTTGAAACAAAAGGAAAAGGAAAGAAGAGGATACACTATTTCCTTAAAAAAACATTTGATGAAGCATATTTTTATGAAGGGCTACAACGTGGAGCGGTGGTTAGCATCGTTGCCTCACAGCAAGAAAGTCGCCGGTTCGTGTCTGGTGAGGACACCCGGGATCTTTCTGCGTGGAGTTTGTATGTTCTCCCCGTGCAGCGTGGGTTCTCTCCGGGTTCTCCGGCTTCCTCCCGCAAAGCCAAAAAACATGTTGAGGTTAACTGGTGATTCTAAATTGTCCGTAGGTGTGAATGTGAGTGTGCTTGGTTTTAAGTGTAGCCCTGTGATAGACTGGCGACCTGTCCAGGGTGTCCCCTGCCTTCACCCTAAGTCAGCTGGGGTAGACTCCAGCTCCTCCACGACCCTAGTGAGGCTTAAGTGATGTATAGATAATGGATGGATGGATGGATGGATGGATGGATATCTTTATTAAAAGCAGCAGCACGTTTATCTACAAACTAAAGAAACTACAGAAGGCCAGCAGGGTTACTGGAACTATTCAGCCCAACTACACATCAAACACTGAACCATGACTACAGGGAGGACAGCATGTTTCTGCTGGATCTACTGTTGATGGACGCGCCATCAAAACTCACATTTTCTACTTCTCTGAAAACACAGTTTATTCCAAAATGTGATTGTTGGTCAAAGGTTGAGACTCATTAATGAGATCATCTATATTTACAGTTCAGATAATGTCACCAGTTTATTTCCATTTTTCAGATTTTGATGAAAATTTGGATTTTGCTCACTTTTTTACAAATAGTAAACAAATTTTAAGCATTTTGGAACAAACCCAGTTTGGGGAGCACACACACAGATTTCAGAATTCATCCATCAGATACAGAAACATGTTCTAACAGCAGCGACACAATCGCTATACCTGCGGTCGGCAGGTGGAGGTGACACACTGCATTGTGGGAACTATATCTCCTACCTGAGTCTGGTCGATGAGGGAATGAAGCAATACAAAAACCTGCAGGAGAACCACAGAGTTATCAAACACTCCAGAGAGCAGGGTTTGTCCAAGAGAATGTGAAATTTAGTAACTCAGGATAAACCACATTCTTCTTAAGAGCGAAAACAAACTTTCACTTGAAAATATTTATTTTTATGAGCGGGAGAAAAAAAACTCTTTTGTTATGATGTAGCTTATATATATTTTGAAAAAAATGTTGTCCACTGAAGCCATCCTCCTCAAACCCTTTAAATGTGTGTAATCCCAGCTAACTGGGAAAAGGTTGGTCTTTTACTGTTCAGGGCTTTGCAGTCATCCAGAAGTTACATTTTCCCAACAGCAGGTTCACTGTGGTGTACTGCAGGGATGCAACGAGAAATTATGTCCATCAAATAATAGATTCGTCATTTTGACGATACAATGTCAGGAAAAAAACTGTTTCCACAGATCATGGTCAGCAGTCTTGTTTTGTCCCACTAACAGTACAAAACTATCAAATCAGATAAAGAACAACATCAAATCCTCAAATTCGAGGATCCTGTCATTCACTGTTATTATTGTCACACGCTACAGTTGTCAGTAAATGTTGATGAAACAACAGCAGCTGCTCTCAGTGGCGACAGCAGCACACAGAAATCAGGTCAGACATTAAAGATGCACAAGTGACGCACAGTTGCAGCACAAACACACACTGCTGCCTGTATCAGGTTTACACACACCAGGGAACGTAAATCTACGTGGATGATAGACGGTTGGACCGTGATCAGCTCAGGTGCTGACTTGGCATTAACCTGCTGACAACAAGCACTGTCAGAGTTATTTTAGGCATCTAGGTCTGTTGCACTAACAGACTGGATCATGTTAACAGCAGCAGGTGAATCATATGTGCTGAAGATGGTCCACAAATCTACAGGCATGTGGACACAGAAAAGTTAACTGCAACTTTCAAGGTTCAGTAAGAAAAATCCAATGTAGTTTTGCAAAAATGAAATAAGTCCGTTGGCAGGTTACAGTGAAGCCTGAGGCTGCTTCAACCGTCTTGTTCTACTAATCTGAATATTCAAATGGTTGGTTTGCATTTCTTGAACGCAGCTCAACTTTCTGACTGAGAACACGCCTACAGGTGAAGGGACTATTCCATGAGCAGACTTGCAGCTCAACTCACTTATTGTTAAAGACGTGGATGTCTGCATCTGGCATCTGCACACTGAAATAAAAACTACAGTTCGCTGTACTCTGCACCTTATTCTTCACAAAGTACTCCATCCAGACTCTGAAGGTCCCACTTCAAAGCCACGAAGCTGATCAACATCAAACAGGGGTTTTCAACAGTCAACACAACTACATCTACAGCTGCTTACTAACAAAGCAACTTCAGCCCCACTTCTTATATGTGATTACATTCTAGCTAATAGGAATTTTGGACACGTACCAACGGATGTATAGACAACTATCACTTGATTATTTAATGCTTTGCAAAACTCAAAATTGCGATGATTCTCAGGCTGGTTCTGTTGCAAGGAGATGTATGGATCTTGGTTTCTATGATTTCTAAGCAGATACTGTATATAGATGTTTAATCAGATGATGAAATCCTCTATCAGTATAAGTCACACTGAATCTATACCAATGTGCAGCATGTTTGTATGTAAAGAGTACCAAGTTAATCTGGCTGTTCTTTCATAGGTAGAATGGTGTGGAACCAAAGAGGTCATTATATCATCATGGAGTAGCTCCAATGTATGCAAGGTTGTTAAACAGTCACCTGCAAGTGTGTCTGCATGGTGACTAACAATACACTGATGATCCGGATGGTTGATGAAGCAAACAGGTTAGTCATAAATTAATGACGGACTCTGTTTTTATGTGGAAAGTGAGCGTATGAAAATCAGGTTATCCAGTAAACTTCTGGTCAGACGTGTTGTTCAGCAACAGCAGCAACACACTGATTTCAACATGTGCAGCATGTGATGATGGGACTCGAATAGAAAGTTGTGAGTAACACAAAGGAAATAAAATGTATTTCCTCATGTTGAAACCTGATAATGCATCTGATCAGTTCTGACAAACGAAGGGACAGTTTTCTATCCTGCATTTAATATATTGGGGGAAACACCTAAACTGTTTGATTGTAGTGCAGCATTTCGTTTAAAAAGTAGCAGTGTGGGCGTTATAAACTAGTACAAGCACAGTACATGTACCTCAAAATAGCTCTCACACCTGCATTAACAGATGATTTGGGTACGTGCGAGCAGCAAGCTGTAGACACAGCACTGACACTGTACACTGTTCAAGCCAAATGTTGAAATGCAAAAAAACCCAAAAAACTGTCTTTCTGTTTTGGGGATTTTATGCTAGTCTATGCAATGTGTCAGATTTTGAACATAAATGTAGCATTACCATGGAGCAAACAGCTAACTGCTATGTAAAGATGTAGTGGAGTAATCCCATCCTCAGCTAAGGGTCAAGTCACACTCCCTGTGTGTGTTTGTTGTAAATCTGAGCTTCTATGTTTTATGTTAGTGCCACATTACAGCAGGCTGGTGCACATGAGTCCCTCCCACTGAAACTCTTGGTCCTCCTGGCATTTATAAATAGACTATGAGTGATCTACCAAACCACACTGGAAAAGTAAAAGTGCAGTCCAGTGTGCAATAACTCAAAAACAACAAGAACTTTAACAGCTAAGTCTTGTATTCATGTTTCATTCTAACTCAGTGTAAACGTCTTCGCTGCTGTTTTGCTGACATCCTTGTCCACTTGTGTCTGCTCCACTCTGCTATGGGTGTCTGTTGCCAAACTACACAGTCTTGTCCTGATTCTGATCCGTTCAGTGAGTCCATGGACAGGGGTGTACCTCTGTGTGACCCACAGACTGGCTAGTTTGGAAACACAGACAGTGAAACGAAGGCCATCAGGTGAAGATACTGTTAAAAACTCAGAACGGCTGCAGATAAGCACGACTTTAAGCAGCTTCACTGTGAGTTTGAGCTCATTGTTTAGCGGACCGGCTGCCACTTTACCGACAACTTAATTTCTTTGTTGTGGTGTTCTAAAAAGAAGGTGAACACAGAAGAGAATTTAGCAGCTAAAAGCCAGATATTTCCCTCAGGAGACAAAAAAGAGTGAATATTGGGCTTAGATCTAAATGAACAGCACAACAAATAGATGGTTGTGTAAATATGCAACTAAGTCACTGAATCCAGGCCTGCTGTGAGAACCACACTCTACTGTTTAGTCCTTCAACCACATGTTGTCTGTGTGTCTAGAATAGAAAACGTGTGATGTTTATTTGGATGGTTCATCCTCCTGCAGCCTCACTGTGACCTCCACATATTGTGTGTCACACTGGATGTTGTGTTATGTAAGCCGATATATCATGTCTCATTTGTTGCTCCAGTCCAGTATCACTCGGTGTCCTGTCCTGTGTGTTAATTTTGTGTTGCCTCCACGTCCAAACACTGTGTGTGTCCCCCAACACGTCCCTCCGTGTCCCCGCTGTCCTTTGTTGATCACACAGGATGTTACAATGCCTTGGAGGCCGACAGAGGCAGAGGTACACAGACACGGACACACACACAAGATATCTTACTGGGTCTGAACGGGTGGTACACCGGGCTGGAGACGCGTCTCTTCCAGGTGAGCAGGGACCGGCTCAGGCTCACATCGTACGCCGTATTTCTGACGCGGAGCTCGGACAGCAGCAGCAGCCTGCCCGGCCTCTCCATCTGCGTCTGTCCGTCCTGCTCCGTCCTTCAGCCGGCAGAGGAGGAAGCGGCAGTCCGGGAAAAGGTTACCTCTCTCGGGACATGTTCGCTCCGATTCTCCAGAGAAGCTCCAGACTCCGACCGTGAACGTTTATTAGACCGTGGAGGACTCACGATGTGTCCGTGTAGCGGATTCCTTCTCGGGATGTTTTTCTCTGACAGATAGCGGTTCTCAGCGAATGTGGGAGGAGCAAAAAGCCGCGTTCAGGTGCTACCGGAAAACTCGGGCTAAATGTCGTAATTCATTCTCTTTCATTGTGCTGTTATCCAATTTTTGGGGGCAGGATGATAAAACATTCTTTACAGAAAATTAACTACTCAATTTAACTCATTAGATTGTTGCGATATTTTCCTTGGCCGTAATCTTTTATAACATTTTCACTTGTCACAACTAACTAAAATTTGAATCTTTTTGTATTAGTTTGAAAGAAGAAAAAAACTGGAAGCTTCTCCAAATAATTTTACGTCTAATTATTGATATTTTATTAATTTTATATTTTAATTTATTTTTTCCTCTATTACATTTCTTCTTTCTTTTTGTCATATTATCTGTCATATTATATAGAAAATATTGTATTCTATTCTATTATGTTCCATTTGCTTTATGTGATTAGATTTTATTTTATTTATCTATGTACATATATATATTTCTTGAACACGTTAAGTAGCTTCTTTTATTTTGTTTTAAATTTTTTTTGTATTTTATTTCTTGTTGCATCTGGATGCAGGTACGAAGCACATTTCACTACGCATTGTGCTGTGTATAATTGTTTATCTTACCTTATTCTGTCATTTGGTCAAAATTTCATTGAAACTGGATGTTTTACCAACGAATTTAATATGAAATTTTTCATATTTTTTTCAACATATGAAAATTTAAATATACCTTCAATTTTGTTTTTGAATAATTTGAAATGTTTGATACAAGACCTATTCACTAAGAATTTCAAACCTAGTTCAGCTAATTTAAAAGATGGTTTGATTTTAGTACAGTATAGTATTTCTTACAATCTGTTTTTCAAAACTAATTTGTTTGGACATTTCTAAACTGATGTTCAATGTGGAATATTAAGATGGTGTTTGAAATTAGATTTATTCCTAAAAGACTCAAACTTTCTTGGAAACCCTGTATTGCATCTATAATGACAAACTACCCAAAACTAACAAAGCAAGGACAAACAATCAAAGTCAATGCGTTAAGCACAGCCAATTTTTGAGAGAACCAAAACCAAAGGATCAGCTTTTCACATATTCACACAAACAGTAACCTACATGACTTCATTCATTTATCTTAAGAAAAGGTGTTGATATCGTCCTGTGAGGTATTTTCCAGAACAGCACAGCTGTTGCGGCAGTATTATCATCAGTGGACTATTGAACAGTGGCATATTGTCGATTGTCAATCAACTTTACTAAAGATCTCAGACTGAAACACACCGGAGCTTCTTCTCGAAAGCTTCTGGCTACCAAACAACTGGCCCAGTTTTAGAATGTGTAAAAGCATGTAAGCTATCTTTCTGATGGGTTGTGCTGACTTGTACAAATTGAATGTAGTCATTGAAGGCATCGAGAATGTTACGCGTGTCGTCATCACGTCCTCTGACGGCGTGCGCCAGACGCTGCAGAGCAGAGCTGGTTCTCCAATAGTATGTCTGCAGAGCCGGAGACCGCACGTACAGAGCTGCTCGTACGCTGCTCGTACAGGGCTGTACTCTTCTTCTACGGCCATACCTTTAGAGCATTTTCTATCGACAGCGCCACCTATCTCAATGACGTTGTGTTAAAGGACAATTTCACTCATAAAACACATACAATTAGGTTTTATTTAAGAATAGTTACAATTTAATAGGTTGTATTTAAGAATAGTGTTTCACTGTAATTTTGGCCCAAGGTAGTCCAGCAGTATGTGTCTGCAGAACCGGAGGGGGCACTTTTAGGACACCACCAATAGAACCACAATTCTAGGACCAGACTCTCCTTCAAGGGTCCCGGGGCCTCATTTATCATCAGTGCGTACGCACAGATATGTGCGTAGAGCGTGCGTACAAACATTCCTACGCAAAGTATGGAATTTATCAACTTGTACTTAAACTTAGGACTGTGCGTAAATATACGCACACCTCTGACCATGCGTACGCACGTAATCTCGCAGTAGAACAGTGAAACTACAAATAGAAAGTATTCGGGGATTTTGACCACTGGCACATTCCAGCGTGAGGTTGGAGACATATGCGGCATTTCCAGTCATCACTGAGCAGGATCAAGCCGGCAGTGTTTGGATGCCATAACTCCCCTGGCCTCAGCCTACATCCAGTTCCCTTACAGTCATCACCAATGAGCCCAAATCAAACGGGGACTTAATGCCATCGCTGGATTCCCAAACATAAGTGGAGCCATCGACTGCACCCACATCGCATTCAAAACAGCATCACTACACAAGCTTAATTTTGTAGATAGAAAAGGGTTTCATTCAATCAATGTACTGATAATTTGCGATGCGCATTTGTGGCTATCCAACGTTGTTGCCCGGCAGCTTGGAGGAACACTTTTGTACTTAGGCACACTCTAAATTTCATTTGTATGACAGAATTTAGAACCTTTTCTAAGCACTGATGATAAATGAGGCCCCTGGTGTCTGTTTTCCTGAGGAGTTGATGCCAAACGAAGTAGCGTCAGTCATCGCCATGATGGAAGACGGCCGCGACGTGAGTACTGACAGTGAATCATTTTATTAGTTTAACGTTAGAAAACAAATACACGTTTGTTCATAACATTTTCTTAGCATCCGCCACCACCACCCCAGCTCCTGCCATCACCACCATCTCAGCATCAGCAGCCACTACCATCCCAGCATCAGCCACTGCCCCAGCTGGATTGCTGCAAAGGATTCGGGTGAAACCCATAGAGCAAAAAAAAAAAAAGTCCCATATGCAATATTCTCATGAACAAAAGAAATTCAAAAAGGCACAATGCACAAAATCTTAACTTTATACTAATATGAGCAGTAATCACCTGAATGAAGGAGTTCTAGTGTTAATGAATGAACTGTTTTTAAGTGTTCTTGTTGACCCTGCAGAGATATTTTTGTCTGTTGATTATTTCAGTGAAGTGGAGGAATTTTCCAGAGGCCTGGAGAAAGAATTAAGGAAAGAAGGGAGACAATTCAGTCGGTAGGTCGTGCTCACTTCACCAGGGGGTCCATTGGCATGAAATCATGAAATGTTACAAATAAATAGTTTTGCCTAAGAAAGATGTTTATCAGATATATCGATGATGTGTGTACTAATCCATGTTAATGCCTATCTCCCTGTGTCTCTCATGAGGGAGTGAGAGCAGAGATTTCGCAGGGGGAGCTAATTTGTGTGTGTGCACGCGCACGCATGCATGCATGTGTTTAGCTTTTATTTTTGCTTTAATGTTGTAAGACAAATTTAAATAAATATCTGGCTCCAGAGTTGTCATTGTGTATCGCTTCTTTTCAACCTTTCACACTTTCCTGTTTGACATCTAGTGCCCACAAAGTCCACAACATGTGATCCATTAATATTTTACCTGATAATAACACAAATATGTTAAATACACAGTTTGTCCAAATGCAAGTTTTAGCAATCAAGGAATTCTCATTATATTTGTAATAATTGGCATTTTGGATGGAATAAACCTTTAACATCTTAACTTGTTTAAAAATACTCTTCTTAAATAAAACTTTTTAAATTGTAAGTATATTTTGAGTGAAATCACCCCTCAAAACTACGCCGCGCACCCGAACTAGAAGCCGTGCACTTATACGGCCGTAGAAGACGAGTACAGCCCTCTACGAGCAGCCCTGTACATGCGGTCTCCGGCTCTGCAGACATACCCTTCTCGGTCGCTGTGTGACTTCAGAGACTGAGGCTGAGAAGAGAGAGAAAAATGGCTTGTCCCGAGGGAGATTCCACAATTGACTTTTCAAAATAAAAAAGGACAAAATCATCCTATGAACTTAAAGCTACATAACTCTGAAATGGTAGCAGATA